AAAGTAAGAATTCTGCTCGTAATTCTCAATTTTCTCCATCAGAACTCAACTTTTATGCAATAAAAACATCATGTTCGGAATCAGAAACTGAGTCGACTAATGTATCATTCTATCCTATCCGACTACTTTAGTTTTTGTCGAATTTTCATGTTGAAAACTTATCAAAGTTTTCACCAAAAAATGCAAATTAACTAAAATTTTCGAAACGCACATTAGTCGACTCAGTTTCTGATTCCGAACATGATGTTTTTATTGCATAAAAGTTGAGTTCTGATGGAGAAAATTGAGAATTACGAGCAGAATTCTTACTTTTTTGCCTCAGATTTAGAAAAAATGAAGAATGACACATTGGAGGAAAAAACGCTCAACGTACTTTTGTTCTTCATCTCAAGGCGAATCGAATACAATATAAAACAATTTTTTGCATCAAAATTCCAAGAAAGAGATAGGCTTCGAACAGTGGATGCAATTTACGAGCATTCCCTAGTCTTCGATGCCGTGTGAGCCAAGAGTGGGTTTGAAAATTTTGACATATAGTGTTTTAGACTCACTTTTTGATGAAGAATCACAAATAAATAATTTCGGAAATATAAATAAGTATTTAGTGGAAAAATCGAACGATTTTTAAACAAAGTACCAGTTTTCAGTAAATCGTACCTGAATTAGTAATTCAATTTTTAACCGACAAAGTTATATTGAAAAACTTTAAGATATTTTCTTAACCAGTTTGCTGAGCTCTATCCACAGATACCAAAAGAAAGTAAAGGATAAATTCTGCTGACTTTTTGTATTTTTGCAACGTTATATGTTCATAAATACATATTATTTTATATTCTCGAAAAAAGCGATCTCATCCTCATAAAATATGCAAAGACAGGCGATCACAGCTACTGAACATGTGAAAAAATCCCGCATTACATATCTTTTGTTAGACTTTAAAAAAAATTCCCAGTCTCTGATGGAGCTTTTCACCTAAACCAAAAGTTTTTAATTGCATTTTTCAATTATGCTTTGTCGTTTTAGGTTCGCGGCGGTAAAGCAAGACGGAATTTACAACTATTGCACGAATTAAAATTACATACAAGTATGAAAATATATGGTAGGAATCGTTTCATTCAAGCTCACGATCTCCATTTTTCAATCCATCGTTCAAAAAAAATTTACTATCAAATACCAAACGATAATGATTGGTATTATGTTCATGGTAAATGTTCATTTACAATTAAAGCTGTTGTAGTTGATGATGTTCCTGATAGTGATAAGACTGATGAAGAATGATAATGGCAAATAAATAACTTTATTCTAAATGTTCGTTTCCATTCAGTTTTAGTTTTACTCTGCTTTTCGTTTATACTCGTAACGAGCTCAATAAAGAAAACTTTGAGGCAGGCTAAATATTTCACAAATTAGGAAGAACGGCACAAGAAAAGTCTCATCTTTATAAACAAACCGGCTGACTGCCCACAAAGAGAAAGAAACAAAAGAAAATAAAGCTTTCGGAATATAGAGAATGAGTCTATACTCGTACGCTGCTTATCATGTTTCTTGTATATTCAACAGCAGTTTACAAAAAAACGCTGTTTTCATCTTTATTTTAAGCATAATTAAAAGTATTATGTACGTACCAAACCATTCTAATTTCTTCCATTGCTTGAAATGAGAAAAAATGTTGTTTGAAATGAGAAAAAATGAGATGTTTTCAAAATGAAGATTATTTTGTCAGTCGCACAGTAAGAGAAACGTGACTTCTTTTATGCTATCAATGTATATACGTCAAGTGAAATCGACATGTATATTTTGACCGGCTATATATAAACAATAGCTTTTACATCGACCTAAGAAAACACAGAAAAGAAAAAGAAACGAAAAAGAAAAAGAACGACAGAACGGAAAAAACACGCTGAAATTTACTGTGAAAAATCACAGCGACAGTGGTGACCCCAGCAAAAACTCAAAGTATAATTATAGGAACCCCGCTGTCGGATTCGCCATGAAATTCTGTATATATTCCCTTAATTTCATCAAATTTGGTGATGCGCGGCAAAAGTACATAATTTTCTAATGGAAAGTTTTAAACACTCCATTTTTAAGAACTATTTTACCCATACTAAAATCTGTATCTCACTAGTTTTATTCTCCTGAGAAAACAGTCAGATAGGATTTTGTTGCAATTGTGCATGTATTCTATTTGCTTCAAGTTGTTAATAATTTTAAGAAGTTCGTTGAACTTTACTATTTTCATAGGCACCATCGCTGTCCTTATCGTCCATTTGGAATCATCGAAAAAGGTGATCAGCCGTGCGCGGTAACAGAATATCGCACCGAATTTATTCCAAGAGAAACCGGCATGAGACAATCATTCAAACCCGATTATTCAGTACCGACTAATAGTGCTTCAATGGATAATGAAACAACACATAAGTAATAAATTTTTGATTTCCGAAAATCAACTCTCGAATTAAAGTTAAAAATCTTCACTATTCTTGTTGACATGATTATATCAAACATGCTCTTGACCGGCAAAATCATTTAAACCATAAGAAGTGTACGTTCCTATTTGGGGATTTTGATGCACTGACAAGTTACAATAAAGAATACACCGGTATGAATGAGTCTGTGTTCGCGATTTTTTCAATAATGTTTCATTATTTTTTGCAGCAAAAGCTGGTGAACGAGCAAAACTGATTAAACACAAAGGGCAAAAAACAGTATCAGCTCCATTCTAAGGAGATCCAAGTTTGTTTTCTTTATAAACTTTTTCAATGACTTACCGTAACAAAAAAATACATTTTGTTATTTCTAATTTTTCAGCTGATTATAGAAAATGGGAGGATTGAAGAACAGAAGCAGTTCGGCACGATGCCGGCTGGGTAAGATACTAAGAAAACTTATTATTCCTGAAATTTAAATAAACTTTTTTAATTAGATCCCACTGGCGGATCCATTCAAAGGTGAAAGTACCTATACCACTGAATTTTTGAAACATAGTTGTGGTGTACGACAACCAATTGGATCTGATCAAGGCGTACTACAATCTGTGGAACCATTCATTAACAACAAATCGTAAAGATTTTACGCCAAAACAAAGTGCGCAAAGAATTTTACTTTTATTATCTATCACTAGATCAACTTTCTATTTTAAGTTGTTCATTTAGGAGATCGAACACGTTCAATGACCCGATCAACGAGGTTAGCGAAGTGATGCTCATTTTGATGATTCAACAACGAATAAATCCGACTTTAAAAAATGGGATGTTCAACCAAATCAACAAACCAGATGAATATCGTGCTCAGCCGGGTGATATGGATTTAAACACAATGTATAGTACAGAATACACTGACAAACTTATGCAAAAAGTCAATGCTATTAAACCTACTGAACGACGTATGATCGATGCGAAATTTCAAGCTGAAACAACCTATAGAGGAGATTATAGAAAATGGCCTGGTTCCAAACCACCATCAATGAGGGCACAATCAGGATATGAACCACCAGTGCATTTATCGTAGTAACAAATTAATTTTTTCTCTAAAGCAGAAAATTTATTGATTTGAGAGCTCTGGAGTCTACCATTTAGACTATTCTATTTTCTATCAATGGCAAAGATACAAAACCAAAGAAACTTTATGATTTTTCGAAGGAGTTTCTACTAAAATCTTTAAATAAAATAATAGTTTACAGTTAGAGGGCAACGACACCATGTGAAGTATGCAAGCTGACAAGTGAAACAGACTTCTGTGCATGAACTGTAGACAATTTCGTGAGATGTTTGTGGATCAAGAAAGACAATGAAAAGAATCAGCAGAGATGATCATTTTTCCATATTTTTCTGCATAAAGGACCCTGTCGGATTTCAAAAGTATGTCGAACCAGAAAGCTATATATCAGGTTTCGTAGAGCTTCTCGTGACGGATCTAAATCGAATTGGGTTTGGGTTAATACCTTCTGGTTATCGAGATATGAGTGTCGCTATGTTCTTGGTTTCTAAAGATGAGACTTGGAGGAATGTTTTCATAATCAGCATTATTTTCAGAAGACTTTTCTAAAATAGGTTTTCCAGGAGATCTTTGAAAAGCTAGGCCGTCTGTAAAGATCTTTCAATAGGACTGTATTGCTTTTTTCTCATGGGCTGATAGCTTTGAGCTGATAGCTCAAAATCTCAGGATATGATTAATGTTGTGCGCTAAACGTGATTGTAAGATCGAAAAAATCAAAAAGCATAATTTTGTTAATAGGTTTCTCAGAAACCCTTTTGGAAAGCCTGAGAGTTCTGTAAAATTTGTTTCGAGATCTTCTATAAATAGGATGTAGAATAGCTTAAATACTCTACATTCTGAAGTTCTGAACTTATTCTGATGTTTTGTGAGTAAATACTGAATTTTTTAATGTTGGGTGAAAACAGCCTGGAAACCATATTTTTCCGTAGATTTTCAGAACTTTTTCAAAAAATTAATATTTCCGCAAAAACTCAGCATAGTCGATTACCCATCGTCCATCAGTCTTTAGGGCTACCAATAGTCACTGGGTGTCAGTCTTGAGGTTCGTAGAAAATTCAATACTACGTCCGAACCGTGCAAAATCAGGGTCTCACTTTACTCCCATTTTGGAGAGGATATCCCGAGCTATCAGCCCATGAGAAAAAAGCAATATTCGGTTTTTATTCTAAAGTGTGCGATCACGTAAGTTTGTTGGATGTGATGAACACGCGGGTTGTGTTATTGCTGTCAGTTTGATAACGTTTGTGGATATTCACGGTGCATTCGACCGTGAATTATGTACGGAAAGTGATACTATGGTCTGAACATGTATTGATTGCAGTTTCGTGCGTGATTAACGGAAACGTTTTATTGTTCTAAATCCTTACGAGGTTTTATTTAGCATTTTGAAAAATGACGAATTTCGTGAGAAAAACGAAAATAAGTCCATTTGGGAACGAATCCCCTGAGAGCAGTTAGCTACTGCTATTGCATCTCTCGGAGATCAGTGGGGCAAATTGAAAAAGGAAACATGTAGGCTGAATGCGAAGACATGCTAGGAAGATTCTAGTTGGAGTGGACTTATTGATCTGTTAAAGCTGGATCAAAGTGAATGTACGAGTCTTTCTCTCTACAACATTTGGTGTCGAGATCGAAATCAACTTAAATTTCTCGTCGAAAAACAGAAAGCCGGAACAGGTAAGGATAAATACGATGATAATAACACTAGTTTTGATCGAACAGAGCGTTTTTCCGTTCCAGCGGAAAATAACTCATCTATACATTCCAATCCAGCGTTACCGCTACATCAGCGACCCAAGACGCGTCCTAACCAACGAGAAAGTACCCGTGAGGTCAAAACTGAAACTTCGTTTGTTCTTACTGTCAACGAGTGGAAGAGTGCTTTTAGTTGAATTCATCAGAAAATGAAACCACATTGGAGTGGCACGTTTTACGAAAAATTGACTTCATGCAGACTTAAATGTCCAATGAAATTTAAAACACCATATATTAAAAAGGGAACACGGAAGCAGGTGTGCAGATTTTTTTGCTGTTACGTTATGTGCACTATTAGCATCTGCTTCCGAAAATATCAAATAATTTTAAAACAGGAGCCGGAAGAGAACGTGTTGGTGCTCTTTCTTGTATGAATTACTGGCAAGCAGAATCATAATATTAACACTGAAATATCTGCACGTCAACTTCGTAGTAAAAATCGCATCCTTGTCGATATGTACTCCAACTATTCAGTTCGGATACGAATTTTAAATTAATGATTTATATATGTTAAGAAAGCAAGCGAACGAAATCGGTCCGCTTGGAGTTTTTCATGAACACGTCACAGAGGCTAATGAGAGTTTGCTCGCTGAGCAACTACACAGAATGTGAAACAATTGAAACTCTCAAGAAAACCGCATATGATTACTGAAAAAGATGCATGTTGATGAAGACATTTTCAAAGAATGTCGAATTATTGGTCGAGCGTATCTTATGACGGATGTGACATCCGCTAATGTTAAAGGCATGCCAAACTCGTACCAGAGAAAAACTTGTTATTAATTTTGTTTTCTGCTTTTATCCAAAGGATACGTTAAAGTCGTTGGTGAAACGCCGTTTCGTGTGCATCTGTTTTCGGAATTCCAAATCGAACGATATATCAGGTACTGTGCCAAAAAGAAATATTCTTACGGTCATATCAACGCTGCAAGAAGCGTGCTCAAAAAAATGTTCGAGCAAAAACTTTCCTTGCTGTATGCGCTTGTTTTTAAAGACGGGGATGATTCGAACGATACCATCCCACTTGCTCATGCTGCTCTTGCCAATCACACTGTTTCAAGCATTGGTTATTGCTTCGGAAACTTGGCCCAAAGTATTGCCCAAGTAGAAGGCGAATGTAGTCTTTCCTCCTTTTTTGTGATTGATTTTTTCTCCTGCTATCATGAATACAGGTCTTCAAGCATTCAATGGAGAAAACATTAAGATTCATCTCAATCGATGTTGGAATGTTCTGTATGATAAGTATAATACTCAACGATTGCGATCCATTCCGTATATACACTTCTGTTGCTGCTATGTCATTCATGCAGTCGCAAGAAGTTCGAGAGCAACGAATGTTGAGAAAAAAGTTCGACAAGGCATTCTGCATATATTCGCCTTCATCTTGTGTTGCAACGATATCAAACAGTTATATATATATACGTTATATATGACGATAAACTGGCTGGACAATGGAAGCGAGGAACACTGTTGACCTATCGATTTATGAAGATCGAGCTAGCATTTCTACTGTTATGACACCAGGACCCCGTTTGTTCTCAGTAATATATATATTATTTTGTAGCCTCTGCAATTTTCTATTGAATGATGCACAGTAGTTGAGGTTTGCTTTGGGTAAAGGGAAGAAATGGGTAAAATACTCTAAATAAAGTTCAATTAAGGGGAGAAAAGTTTGGATGCGGAATGTTTTCCAGGGAGGAGGGGGGTTGAAAATGGTTTTTTTGAGGTGCTAGTTTTAATCACGGAAAGAAACTACATCAGACTTGTGAATATGAGCTTGATCTGAGAGGGGACCGATTTTGCCTCTTATCGACCCCCGTCCTTTTCGATGTCCGTACGTTATGAGTTTTCGGGATGAATTGCTGAAAAAATTAGAAAGTGATAGTCGTCAACTTTCTCCTAATGTTCAGCCTTTGCTACTTCTGAAATGTCGAGACCAGGGCGTGAAAATTTTACAAAGTAATCTGATAAAATCAATGCTTGGTAAGCGGATAGAACAACATCAAATTTTTAATCGAAATGACCAGAGCATGTGGCCACGATTGCATTCCAATTCAACTTCATCACAGACGTCTCTGAATAGGTTTCATCAAGATGTTTGTCATTTACTGACCGTCTCATGAATATATCCTACATTAAACTCGCAATCTTTCAAAACTTTGGCTGTTTTGATCCTTCATCTTCATATGCAGCTTGTATGCAACCTAGTCCATCGTTCCAAAAGATGAGCAACCGAACATGACATGAAAGAGAACTGGTACTAGTTTTTGAGTAATCCTTTAATTTAGGAGCGCTGAAGGAGCCGCTGGTTATGGTGATTATAGCCTTAGTAAGCAGTGCCTAGTTTAGATTAAGTAGAATTTCGATTCTGCATCGATTTCAAAGTATTATTCAAGGAAATTCTAAGGGATATCATATTTTATCAAACTGGAAATAAAAGATGCTTCGTAAGACAAAGATCTTTCATGCTTCAGAGATAGCTTGAATAATAAGTCCTATGGTATGTCACGAGGACATAAAGAGATCATATGTTTGAAAATGTGACTTATCTTTCCTTTCTATAGATCAGTACTATACTCATGTTGTTATGTCATAAGGACATCACATGTTATATACGGGACTATTCTTTGTCCTTCCTGACGCCATGTTCTTTTCTATTCTTCTTACATTATGTTCTATTATTCCACCTGTTTCTCGTACGTTCAAAAATATCTAATTCTTATATATAAATACTTGTGGCTTTAAGCATGTTTTAATGTAGTTATTCGGATTATTACTATCCTTTTCAATGAACAATGAAGTCGGTTGTAAGTTAAATATCTCGGGATAGGAAGCAGCTAGAGACCTGCGGTTTTCAACATTCGAAAGAGAATAATATTCTTTATTAAGAAACACCTAAAGCTGGGTGATCAACAATTCACCAATCAGGTGAGTTTTCGCTTGATATATTGGGTACTACCTGGAGAAAAGATTCTCCGTTGGATTTGAAATTCTAATACAACCATTCGATAGAGAAAATTGTTCTCTATTGATGTACACAAGGCCCAGCTCTTTAGCTTGTGCTGTTTAGGAAATATAAGTAGTTTCCTGAGAGCCCCGATTTCGGCAAGCTGATCTTGGATCACTCCAGAAAACCTCGAAATATAGGTAATCGATCGTGCTGAGCCGAGTGGTAATGTTTATTTTCAGTTTTGAAGCTAATTAATTCGCTAGATTAAACTTTTTTGAAATATCCACTCAATACGTCGCATAGCGCG